TACAGACTTACTATTTTTTTATTTTGGATTAATTCACTTGAATGCGCTCCCGTTTTCAAGACATTGTGACTGCCCCGTGCATTGGCACAACAAAAAATATAAAAAGAAAAAATCTTATGAGCTCAGCTGTGCTATTAATTGTTTTATTAAGACATTTCAAGATTTAACATGCCATACACCCTACCACACAATGTGCAAGGCATAGTAGACTGTGGATAAAAGCTCTTTAATGTGTTTGATACTCGACTTAGAGAGATAATTAAGCTATGCTACTTAAAATGGAACACAGAACTATATTATTGTTTAATTAGTTATTTATTTTGAAGAGCTTTGAATGTATATGAAAAGATTCTGATGGCAGTCAACTTTTTTGCATAATAAACAAACAAATTTATAAAGCAATTCCAGCTGGTTGTAGTCTTACTTTGTGCAGGGCACTGAGTAAGTTCTTCAAACTTGACTTACAAAAAAAGAGGCAAGCCCAGAGACCTGAGCCTTCGGTTGGAGCCCTGCATCTGGGCTCGAGTCTCGGCCCGATCTTCTGGCTCATTGCCTTTCCCCATCAGCCTCATCAACATCATCATCATTGCGATTACGATCGTGATCATGGGCTCTTGAAGACGATCATCGCCGATGAGGACCTTTGGTGTGGTCCAGTGGTCCGAGTGGCCTGCATTGCGGTGATCCGTGGAAGATTGATGTTAATGTCGGCATCGCCCTGGTGTGAACACACTTATTCGCATATTTGTTTTGCAACCCTGCCAGTTTTTCGGCCACACACGACGTCGAAGGTCCAAAAAGGGGCTATCGCCGCTAATAGAGCCATAAAGCGAACATTTATTGATCTACAAATTATTTGGGCCTGCCGCTCTGGGGCCGAAACTTCGATTTTTGGCCGCTCTCGTGGGCAATCTAAATATTCATTAGTGTCTGGGCGGGTTGATTGGTCGGTCGATCGCCTCAGAGATCGCTGCGTTCTTCGATTTAATTTTATTTTTATAGCCCCCCCCCTCCGAAAGAACCCGCTGACTACCGCAACCGACAGTCAGAAAAGCAAATAAACAAAACACTCTCCCGATAGCCATAAGATACCTTTCGTTTCGGGTGGTCCGCGAGATCAGTGGCTCTGATGAGTTCATTAGGGTGAAAGTAACTCCCCAGACTGCCAGACTGCCAGACTTTGACTGATCTAATTGGAGAAACTGGAGCCGAGAGCTTCGATAGCTTAGAGCTGAGAAACTGAGGATTGCGTTAATTGAGAGGCCATAAAAGTGCACTAATTTAGTCGAAATATCCATAGAAGCGTAAAATGTTCACACCTCAATTGCACAAAAACAACAAAAGCCAAAGCAACGAGTCTATTAGGCTCGAGATATGTCTACATCCACAGCTGCAAAAAGCAGATAGAGAGATACAGATACTTTGGCCGCCCATATCGGTGTCGCCTGTACTTGAGGCCTCCGCCAATCTCAATCTCAGTTCCAATCCAAATCCCAGTTGCAGTTGCAATGGCAGTTGCAATGGCAGTTGCAGTTTCAGGCCACCTGATGCTCAGCTTAACGCAGCGGATTGATTACAGTTTCTTAATGAAATTGTTTGCTAATATCAGCGGAAAATGCGGTTTGCAATTTGTCAAACCAGTTGCGGCCGCCTCATGGACCCAATCAATGCTATAGGTGTAAGCGATATCCCGGGCAGGGTATTAAATCGCTAAAGGTGTGAGAGCGCGTAAAAGGTTGCCTCGGAATTCGCTGGGATCATTGAGGAATCTTCTTCATGTGAGGAAATTCCATCGCGATTATCTTTGCCGAACCATATTTAATATTATAGTTATGCGGGCTTCGAAATGCTTAAGAATTTAATGGATTTTTTAGTTTTTATTGGAGTATTAAGAGTGTTTGAAGTTTTAATAAATTTTATATCAACACTCTTGCCGTAAGTTTTAGTTTTAGTTGTTATATCGTTTGGTAATGCTTGGGTTTAATGAATATTAACTTAATGATGGAGTCATTATTGTAGTTCTCAAGAAAAGGAATTGTCCTTCAAGTTTTATTTGTTTTACCGATTGCTTAAGCTTTGGTTTAATGAATACCAATTTTATGATGGAGTAATTATAGTAGTTTTCAAGAACTTCAACTGTCCTATCCCACTTTCATTTGCCGACTTCAAATTGCGTTTGAAGCAACATGTTTTGACACCTTCGACTCGCCCATGGAGCATATTGAATGAGGGGCCCTGCGATGAAAGAACCGCGAGGACAACTGTGCCAATTTCATATGCAAAGCTGGCTAGGGCTATGCAAATTAGCCCGCGGCACTAGCGACACACAGGCAGTGGCATGAAACAAAATAAATAGCAAAACGACCGCAGTGATAGAGCAATTAAGAAATATGCTTTAAAATATTTTCATGCAGGAGAGCAAATTATGCGCTGGAATGTTGACGCTAGCCTTTGGCGCTGCTATAAGCTAGTTAGGCTGGACTGGGCTGAAATGGCTATTTTCGATCGGACGACCGATTGAGCGATAGACAAAACGCTGACGAAGTTTGCAAGCTATATACGATCATCGGCATCGTTTGTCAACCGGCGATTGTGATTGCGTTTGCGAGTGTCGCGCTGTCCGCGTCAATCACTTCAATTAAACGTGCAATCAAACCGATGAGCGACGCGTCGTCATGTCAATATTCATCAGTGTCGCCAAACCGCAGCGTTAATTTGCCTGTCTTTCCAGGTTGGTTATGTGCGTGGGATCCCCTGATCAGTGATCAGTGATCAATGATCGGCGAACAGCGATCAGAACTATGGATTCCTAATAACCACCGATCAATCATCTATCGCTTTCACTTTTCACATGTAAATTTCCCCGGCTATGTGTTGTATTTTATGGCTTATTAATGATCTGGGCTCGAATGTGCGATCATTAGAGACAGATACGAGCTGCGATCGTCTCGAAACAGATCGCTTACATCGAAGCTCGACGATTGAAGCAGCTTACTATATGTGACTGGTTCTCGATCGCCAGACCGGCTCCATCTCGATCCGTATCTGTATCTGTATCTGTATCTCCATATGTATCTGTATCTGTATCTGTTTCGGTTTGTGGCTCCCCTGTGACGCGATCACCATGGTCTGTGTGTGGCCCGTTAGTTTGAGATCTTTATAAGACAATTTCGGTGGAGTTTGCAGTTGCTGTTTGCTGTTGGCTTTTTGCTTTTTGCTGTTTGGAGTGCGTGAGTTACGAGTGTCGTACTGAAAATACCCCACATCCTTGCATATTTGGCTCCTGCCGGAATCATCATTCTTTGCATTTAATTGCGCACTCTCATTGGCCAGGTTCATTCATTTGCTCTGCCTAAATGGCAACTCACCTGGTCGGCCGGATTCCTTTTCTGTGCGCCTGAGCTGCTGCTTTTGGCATTTGCAACTCATGTTAAGCATAAATAAAACAAATGCGTTTATTTTAAACATATGCCCCAATGGCAGCAGAAGAGGCCAGCTTTTTGCCTCGACTCGACTCACTTCGCCAAGTTGGGTCATTCGGGCTGCTGATGAAGACATCTTTCCGTTTTTGTTTTCTTTGCCGTCTGTTCTGGCCCGTTGTTGGTTTTTGATGAACATGAATTTATGTGAATGTGCGTCTCTGTTTTTGTTTATTTCTTACCGGCTTAGTTAAGAACAAGGCCACCACCTGACTTCTTTTTGCTGGGTCTGGTTTGCTTTTCAAAATCGAACAACTTGGGCTTTTTTTTGCTACATTTTTTGATTGTTAGTAACAGTAAATAAGGAGTTGGAGAAGCACTGAAAAGTATTTTGAGGATCAGTTCGTTGACCACAACAATAAAAATAATAATCCAAATTGAGAATGTCTTACAAATAATATATAATCCCATTTAATTTAAACAATTGTGTATTTTCAATTTTCCTTAATGACCAATTTTTTTCAAAAATTTATGAAGTTAATTGGAAATTATTTTAATTTTTCCCTCGTTTTTCTCAAATAATGATCTAAAATGATTCACTCTCCGTAGATATTTCCGTAAATACTTATTTCAGTACTTCACCAACATTGATTGAGTTCATATAATTTGTATTAAAGCCAATTTGAAGTAACCCCCTTGCGAAACAAACTCCGGAGGAACTTCCCCGGAAAAACAGCTTTGAAACTTTTATTGTGTCAAATTTGCGCAGCGGAGCAATGAAAAATTTAACACGCTATAAATCACATTTTCCACAAGAAGAAAGGAAAAGATTTGACGCTGGCAATTGTTGCATTTTAGGGCATTTTTATTTTTTCGAAATAAGGGACAGCTGGCAACCCCTTTTGGCAATGTCCTTGCGACGCTTTGGCATGCAGCTTAAGTTTGCTTATCTCGGCTTGCCAACATGCGTTTTTTTTCTTGTTTTTTCAATGGGCAAAAGGGGGTGTTTTCCAGGAGGGTCGGAGGTCATCATGACTTGGATTTTCCTGTCGCCATCGTCTCCCGGCTGTCTGACAGGTTCAAGGTCTGATTTTCCTTGCCTCTCGCTGTTTGTTTTTATTGTCGGCTGCGTGTGAAATTTAAAACCGTGATAACACCTTACAACAGCCACGCCCACTTGTCAGGCGCCCCTCCTCCCCCACGACTCACTAGAGAAATTTTGGTTTAATTTCGCGCCCGTCGGCAGCTTTGGCATTTTGTTGACAAAATTGATTTGTTCAATTTTTCCAACGATTTAACTTAGGGCATGACTTGGTTGCGTTGCCATTAGTGCCGCTACATTTGTTTTGAAGGTTGTTGGGGCGGCAGGCGGCGATGAGTGGGCATGGCCGAGTGGGGTCGCCGGGAATTTTTGCACGTTTCGCCGGCAGAAAGTTTCCGCTGAGTCGCGCTGACGTCGAGGAATTTAATCAATTTCCGATATTTTATTGATTCGCGTTAAAAGTAAATTAAATTTTAAATTGTCCCAAGCAGTTAACCTTAAATGTTCTAACCTATATATCTCTTTCTCTCTCATTGCAGGTCGAAGTAAGTAAAAAAGGACTTAAAATGGGCCTCAGTCAACTGGAAATTCTGGATCGATATGATGGTGTTTAATAGTTCGCAGCAGCTGCAAGGAATGGGTCATAAGTTAGCTTGGTAGAGGTTTAGCTAATAAATATTGAACATTGATTGTTTTTATTACTTGTTTATAGGTTCAGTGAAGCAGAAATAAGCATGCTTATCTTAGAAAACTTATAAAACTAAGTGGTCAGGCTGGGAGCTTAATTTTATTCTCTTTCTATCCATAGCTTCAGTCATCTATCTTTTATTGTAACTAAAATTGAAAGGTCACCATATTTTAAATATCTGAATTAATCTCTAAAAATTTAAATACAACTTATCACTCCGTTAAAAAAGTATTTACATGATTCTTTTTCAGGTTTTAAATATTTTAGTGGCGGCTTAAGGGTTTATTCTTGTTCCTAAATTCTTTAGAGGCGAAAAATTTATTTTCCTTCAAGACAATTTCCCCCAAAGCTCATCCCCAAGACACTCGCAAATGCCTTATGATAGATGGAGCTCTTAAATTACAAAATACTTGCCACATATTTGCTTTTCGTTTCGTTTCGTTTCGAACATCTTGCGGTCACTTGACTCGGCTCTTCCTTTGACCAAAATATTCCCATTAGTGAAACCTCATAATCGCTTCATTTCTCGTGTTTTCCATTTGCATTTCGGTTACAGTTTAGCCAACTATTTCCCAAAACGAGCCAAATTTTGAAACCCCATTTTCAGGATAGAATAGAAATAGACCCAACCCACATCAAGTGGAGGAGCGATTCTCTGCGCCTGTCCGCCCCGAATGCTGTTAATTAAATCCAAGACAACTCAAGTCGTTTCCTTTCGTTTGGGGGTGTTTTGTCGGGCTGGCTATCCTTCAGGAAAATTAGCCACAGTCAAAAGTCATTGCGTTGATTACTTTTTGAAAATGACGCGAGCAAATTTCCACCCAAAAACTTTAATTGTTTTAGCTGGTGGGTGAGTTTGTAAAGCGGGGAGGGAGGGCAGAAGGACGTTCCATCCGAGGTTGTCTGGACGCATTTAAATGTGAATTAATTGCCGGGCTGCGCTGCAACATATATGAGGCACAGGATTTATGTCCGCCCGATGAGTCGGCAGTCGGCAGTTGGCAGTCGGGCAGGTTGAGATCGCAGGTCCAGTCATGTTGGTGCCATTAAGCGCTCCCTGGAATTTTTATGACCTCCGCACTCATCTCATCTCATTGTGTTTCCCGATTTTGCAGGTCCACGAGCGCGAAAGCCCAAGAAGCCATCGACGTCCAGTTCGGCGGCAGGTGGAGGGGGCGGTACCGGGGGCGTCGAAAAGGGTGAGGCCACGGACGGGGGCGGCGTTGCGGAAGACAAAAGGCCGCGAACGGCCTTTAGCGGCACGCAGTTGGCCAGACTGAAGGTAAGACAAAACCCGATATATCAACCTATATTCCACTTAAGCACACTAAAAATAAAGTGCTCAAGTTCTAAGGGAATTTTACATTAGTATCTAACCAGCTTGTTAAACACACCAATTTAACAAATACACAAGGAATAACAAATTACCTGCTGATAATCTTTGTAAATAAATCATTTTGGATAATCATAATTATCAAAACAAAATTAAAGTTAAGTAAAATATGAATTGTTTTGAAATACTTTAAGTTTGCCTTATGAAAATAAATTAAAATATTTTTAATTGTATTTGGATTTCTACCAAGTACAATTTATGTAATTTTTTGCGGTAATCAAAACGAAAACAAATTCTTTAGTCAGATAGTTCAATTTTTGAAGCTTGTTCTTATTTCCAGATAAATTGCATATTTTCGTAGTTATTACCAACAAATTTTTAATATATAAAATTTTACCCTACTCAAACCAATATTATTTCAAATATTTGTCGCCCATAGCACGAGTTCAACGAGAATCGGTATTTAACCGAGAAGCGACGCCAGCAGCTGAGCGGCGAGTTGGGCCTGAATGAGGCGCAGATCAAGATCTGGTTCCAGAACAAGCGGGCCAAGCTGAAAAAGTCGAGCGGCACCAAGAATCCGCTGGCGCTGCAGCTGATGGCCCAGGGATTATACAACCACTCGACGATACCGCTGACCCGCGAGGAGGAGGAGCTGCAGGAGCTTCAGGAGGCGGCCAGTGCCGCTGCCGCAAAGGATGCCTGCTAGAGTTCGGGGGTCGCCGGCAATATCTACGATCTAGTATTTATGGAGTAGCGTGTAAGGCTAGCTTTAAGAAAATTCTTAACGATTAAGTTGTACCATATTCTAGTCCACCGCACACGCAACTGAACAAAAAGCAGAAACAGCCGAAGAAATCTCCCGAAGAAATGAACCCCGAAGAAACGAAGCGGTTGCGTGTGCGTTTTGTATAATAGATTCATAAATTCACAACTAAATAATTTAATAAACATTTAAATTATACACGCCGTGTTGTTGCTGTCGTTATCGAAAGAATTTTGCATAATTTTTATTTGATTGCCATATCTGTTTATGGGCCGCGGCCAATCGACCAAGTGGGTGGTCTCCATCTCCATCGCCATCTATATAACAATATATATATTTCTATTTTCCGTGGGCGTCGGCATTAATTACTCAATTAACAATGCGCAGATCAAAAGATTGGCCGAAGCAATTGCGGGAATTACATTCGAATTAAATTCATTATGCAAATTGAATTTTAAAACTGCTATCTCCGAGCATAATCACGCCTAATAAACGGCGTCTCGTCTCGATTCCAAACATTAGCAACATATATTATTAAATTCCCTCCTTCTTCGCTTTGTTTTTGTGCCCCTCTTGTTTTCGCTCCCTCCTCTAATTTAGCCATTAAATTTGCATACAGTCGTCAAATTCAGCTCTGTGTGTGTTCGTGTGTGTGTGTGTGTGTACAGGTGAGTGTGCGAGTATGTGTGAGTCTGCCAACGGCACAAATTGACACCTTGACGGCCGAAGCGGCGTCAAAAAAGCACGGCGCCCGGTCCGCAGAGCTTTGCCCGAACTGAAGTGCAGCGTCAACATCGCGTAGGTGTTAAATGTGTCTGTCATTGCAGGCGGCATGGGTTAAGGGAGTGGTGGAGGGGGTGGGGGCCAGGCGGTACAGTGAATAGCAGGCACGTAGCAACTGCAGAAGTACGAAAGGCCAATCAAAGTGGTAGCCAAAAAACAAGCAAGCGTTGTCTAAATACAGAAACACTAACACCGAAGTTTGTTATCAATTAAATGGTAAATCTTAATAACTCAACAACACCAAACAAAATAGTTTAATATTTCTTTGAAAAATTAACTACTTTATAGTATATTTAAAACGTGTAAGAGTTTGTTATGTGTGTCATTTCATTTTCCTTGACACTAAAGACTAAAAAAGTTAATAAAATGAAATGAATAAAAGGATAGGATAGGATAATAAAAATTAATAAGTTAATGGCAAAAACAAGATTTTAGCAAAGTTGTTAGACTACACATAGTAAATAAAGAAATATATAGAAACAAATCAAATTCAATTCAAAATACTTTTCAATGACGTTGCCAAGATTTTATACAAAAATTATTATTTTTCCTTTTTAACTTTTTTTAAGATAATACAGTTTTATTTAGAATTTTATATCAGGCATAAACATCGACTTTATTGACATACCTTTAGCGTTTTAGCTTTGTCTTTTGTTTACCAAAGAACTACTAAAATCCATTCTGCAAGCCGTAAACAAAATGTATAACAAGTATAGCATACAGTATATATACCATTATGGATTTTTTTTTTAATTTGTGGCTTTGCTTTTGTGCAACAACAAATTGGTCGTTGCCTTCGAAATCGTGCGAAATATATAAAAAAAAAAACGTCTTAATTCGCCGTGAATGATTTACGGTTCGGTTTTGGGTTTCACATCGAAGGCGACACATTTGCTTGTTTGTATGGGGCAGTCGAACAAAGGCGAACGATACTACGTAACAACGGCCGCGTTATAACGTTATTACGTTTGGCATTTTATTCGCGAGGCTCCACTGTGCGTGGGAGTTTTCCGCGTGGCCTAAGTGATTTTTTATGGCACGCGTCTGGCGAAGATATAACTTCATAAAAAGTCAATTTAAGTTTAGTAATATTTTGCTGAATTTATAGTTGCGAGTATTTTGTTTAAGCATAATTTTTTATAGCCTCTGCCGGTGTGGAACTGGATTTTGGACTCGAAATCGGATTCGAATGGGGTCTTCAACTTTCTGTTTTGTTTTGAGAGAGAGATGGCGAGCAAAACGCGGGCATCGCCATGAGTCATTGGGTGCGAGTATATTACGTTATAAATTCAATAAATGTGACCATAAAAAGGCCCATTCAAATACCTTGTCCGCGTACATTAATCCCGCTGTCCTGCGCCTCAAGTCCCCGCCTCCCCCCACGATCCCCGTGATCCCCTTGATCCCCTTGACCCCCTTAACCCTCTTAACCCTTTGCAGCAGCCGCACATTACAACGCCTCGAATGCTGCCGCAAACTGCTGGAAATCCCCCAACACAGCTCCTTTAACCCCCCTGCGCCAAATGATTAATGTCTGGCAGCTCGCAGCCTTGGCGAGAGTTAAAGCCAGAAAACAGAGCCAACATCCAACAGTATCCAACATCCCAGTATCCAACATCCAACATCCAGAATCCCGGGTCCAGAGTCCGAGTGTTCCCGGAATGCTGGAGCTGCAAGTAACCCGAAAAAAAGACAATACGCATAAATCTATGGGGTTGACACTTAGTACCCAAAGACCACAGACTTCAAATGAATTTGTTTTGCACATCCATGGGTGACTTGGTGGGGGCTAAGGGGGCTCTGAGGGGGTCGAGGGGGGCTTGGCGGGGCTGTTGAGTGGCGAGGCGTCATAAAATTGGCAACAAATTGTTTTCACGCCGTTTTAAATACACATTTTTTAGCCGATACTTGGAGACCGTTTAATGAGCGAAACCAAAAGGAACCGAACCGGGTGACCGGAACGAGAACGGGAACTAGAAATACACAGGGAAAAGGCTTGCTAGGCTTAAGAGACCTATCCTTTTATTCATTTAAAATATAAATAAATTAAATTGTCAATTCTATGGTCTACAATTGTTCGGCTAAAATACCACTGTGAAAAAAATATCACCAGGAAAAAAGTATTTGGATTTATCAAGAGATTTCTTGCAAGAAATAATAAACTTAATATCCAGAATTGTTAAGAGATATGGCCAAACTAATTTTAACGCCCTTTTTTTCTCTGCATGGTGGACGACATTCTGCGAGTTGACGGACGCTCCACGTTGAGCGTTACTTGGTTGCTGGACTCGCCAATAAATTTGCGGCTAAGGAGATAAGCTTATAAATTTTAACTGTAATTATGCGACACAAGATTTATGAAGAGAGTCCGCCGGCCAACTTGGCCGCTGGCCAACTCGGCCCTTTCAGCTTGGGATTATTAATGAAACACCAACTTACAGCGAAATGCGCTCACACTTTGTGGGGGAACGCGGGGACTGAAGAGTGTGTCTGTTTCGGCGGGGCAAAACTAGCTAGAGATTTACGAGCATTTAACCATTTGGCGGCGCTTCTAATTCCTTCGACTTAATGAGTTTTTGGGGTTGACTTTGACGCATGCAAATGCAAATCCCCCTTGAAGTCTTGCCAGGCCCTTGGTCTTAGCATTTTAGCCGACTTTATTGATCCACACACACACACACACTCACATGTGTGTGTGGGAGTGGCACGTCTCATGAGACAGATCAAAAGGGGGAATAAAACGAGGGACCACCCACGTAGCGCCAATCGCTTGAAGAGATCTGCGTATTTGACATTGCTGCTCAGCGAGTGGAGTTGCCTCATTACGCCTGCGCGCAGACAATCGCCAAGATCAAGCTACAACAACAAAAAAAAAGGTAAATAAATAAAAGGGGAGATGAAGAACCACAATAAAAGTATCTTTAAGATACGGCGTGGGAGCTGCAAACGAAATATCTGCGATAATTTCAGCGCGCTCTTCGATTGAGCAAATGAGTATCAACTATGGCTGTGATTATTAAGCTGTAGTCTTTTTTGAATGGCAAATTTAATAAAATAGCTGGGTGGCTGTGAAACAAGAGACGCATCTTTATAGCCACCATAACATGGTTGGTCTAAAGGAGGTAATCTGCTAAAGACAAAGGTAAGTGGACGGGTTCTAGAAACTATAAATAGCTAATGCCTATTCTGCTTATTTTTAAGCCTTCGTTTTAAGATGTCGTTACAAGTTATCAGATATGAAATGGAAATGGAATGAGTCACTAAAAATTAATGTTTGTATTAGTAAATGCAAATAAATTCCCCATTAGTATTTCTATAGAAGCTTAAGCCATACAAACATAGTAATAAAATAGTTTACCTACAATAAATGATTATGAATTTTTAAGTTTTAGGATTATATGCCAATAAAGGTGTGAAATTGAACACTACATTTAAGAGCATTTGGTTCATTTAAAATTTCATATAAGATAACAAATATTATTAAATTGCGTAAACTAAAATTTTAGCCTTGAGATTACAGATAATACAGAAATAAATGCAACAATTTAAGAGTATAATAAATAATACAGAACAATTTGCCATAATTTTAAAATCTGAACAGGGAAATAACTAAAACGTAAAAGGCGATTTATTTCAAAGTTTTCCAAAGTAAAACAAGCGCAAGAGAAAACAACATTGCCACCTGCCAAACAGGTAAAGACCGAAATTTGGGTGGGCTGGGTTAATTATGCAATGAAAATGCCTCATAGCTGCCAGTGACATATGAAAATGGGAAATTACATTACGTTTTCATTCGTGCCCGGCCGACAAACGGGAGCGTACTCGAAGTGCCATTCGAGCGGAAGTATCTTGTTAACATGCAAAACAAGCCATTCTGAACCCGGAGAACCCGGAGGGGGAACCGGAGCTGTTTATGAACCCGACGAAAGTGTGGAGCTGTGGATACGGATACATGTACTGACTCACCGAAAGTTCGTTTGCGATCCCACCTCTTCAATTCAATTAGGAAATACCAAGGGCAATCGGAACTGCGAGAAATGGAGATGGGGCAATTCGTGGGGGTAGAATTGTGGAATGGAAAGCCGCATCGTAAAATCTAACGATGTGGGCCCCACCCTGGGATTGCATTTTCATGGCACATTTGCAGCGCAATTTTAATTGTATCAATGGGCAACCCGCCAACGGCAACGGCAACGGCAACCCTTTTTTCTTTTTTTTGTTTTTGCCCTGGCCTAAACGCGATTGGTCACGCATGTCCGTGCGCTTGAGAAAAAGGACTAGGATTGGGATACGAAATGGGAGGCCGGGCAATAAACACGTAAGCCAAAGCCTAAATAATATTTAAAGTGTTATAAAACTGTCACCAGGACAACCGGCAGATGTCACTCGAGTGCCTTTGATATTGGTTTTCTTTC